AGAATATCAAGAGTATGAAGTATTGTGTTATAGTAGATAAAATCTGTCTTGTAATAATATTCATTAGTACGTTTTCGTGGCTAACTGAAAGCATCTAATTACATCAGATTATAAATAAAAGAAATTTAGAGGATGCAATGCGAACATCATATCTGGGGAGTCTCATCAGCGCTGATGGCCTGGTGACTGATGAAATCTCAGCTCGGATACAGAAAGCTCGATTCGGTTTTGCCAATCTGCGTCACTTATGGCGTAGGCGAGATATCCGTTCGCTAACCAAAGGACGGGTGTACTGAGCAGCAGTTCGCTCCGTTCTCCTAAATGGATGCGAAACATGGCCGTTAAGAGTAGAAGATGTTCGTAGGTTACTAGTATTCGATCATAGATGTTTAAGAAGCATTGCTCGTATATCGTGGGACGACCGAGTAAGCAATGCTGTCGTTAGGAAATGAGTGCTAGGTAAGGATGGAAGATCAATAAATGAAGTAGTGAAACTTCACCAGTTGAGGTGGTTGGGACATGTGTTACGAATACTGAACCACCGACTGCCGCGACGCGCTATGTTTTGTGGTGTAGGAGTAGGTTGGAAGAAAGCTAGGGGAGGCCAAACCAAAACATGGCAGAAATGCATGAAGTGACTGGCAAGTGGACTGTGTCATGTTGGTAGATGTAGACTACCTGGTTGAGGTCGGTGAGACGAAAGTCACCAATGGTTAGAGACCTTGAACGACATGGCTCAAAATCGTTTGCAATGGCGCAAAAGCATCCATTCGTTGTGCTCTTTCAAATCCCAATCTTCTGGATTCGTCAGCACCTTATCTCACTTAATTATACTTCTTGAATAATATCTTCAAACCCTAATCCGCTTGCTTACCAATAATACCTCTACTTTATCTATCACTATGGTATTTGAATTGTGGTATGGCAACATGAACTTATGTACATACGTACGAAGTTCTACGTTGCAACTGACAGACTGACTGATGCGAACATCCGGCTCTTTAATTGGGTTTTCAGGTTCGAAGTACCAACCTAGGGAAGTTAGAAAACTCTGATGCCAAAATCTCGAAAGAGGCAGATGGCGTATTAACCTACTGTTAATGACCAGCTATCATTGTACTGAATCTCTTAGTGTTGTTCCACTCACTATCTCTATGTCAAAGGCTTAGTGAGTGAGTACTTAAGGAGGCCACCTGATTTGGTTTGGATACCCAGACAGTATTCTAGCCCATGCATGTACTGATTGATTTGTGTGATGTATGTATGTTCTGGTCCTTCTTTTTACCTGATGCTAACGTATTTGAATAAAAAAATGAAGTGTCAGAATGCACATACATAATCTAATGTAAGAAATCAAATGAAATTTATGTTTCCTAATATTTTGAAGTAGAACAAATTCTAGTGTATTCAATTGTCATATCACTAATTGAATATGTCAATCGTTGTATATGAACTTATCACTTTCATTATTATAATCATCAAAAATTATATTATATCACGCAGTTAAGAAATGAATTAACTTGTTAGGACAACATCGAACTGATAGTGTGGTGCACGCTACTTATGTTCACATAAGTAGTATATGATATCAAATGGAAATCAAACGTCTGACAGCAAAAGATCGAGAAGGAAAGAATGAGAACAGAATGCGATTTGTGCGTAACGTAAAGTGAACTGAATTCTGAACAGTCTAAATGAAAGAACACTGAAATCTGAAACAAATAAGGATTAGTTTGCAAATGATGATTCACGGGAAGGTTTTGTACATATGCTTAACATGTCTGTAATATTCGCTTAAATATGGATGTTGATGTCCTCACCTAAGTTCTCGAGCACAACAGTATGCGTAAGTAGAGTATATCTCTTACAAACTCCACTTAAACCTCTTCTAGGGTTACTGTCCCTCTAAAGTCTAGGTAAAAGAGGAGGATCTACCCAAATGGTTAACAATCCCATCTCATAAAAACAACTTTACCCGGAGAAAAAAGAACCTTTTTCTACTGTTCTCACTTATTTGATTTAATTTAACTAACCTCTAATGCAATTTCAGTTGAATGTGACATAAATTAGAGAGAGATGCACGAAAACAATACATTTGATTTGAAAGCGGACAATTTGTATAGTTTCGGTAAAAAAAAAGATTGAGTCCTCTGCCATATTTATGAATTGTTGCGTGTGTGTGTGCATGTGCGTGTCTGTGTATATAACCATTTGATATGAATATTTCGAATGATAAATATGATTTCTAGGTAGTAGTAGTAGTAGTACACACAGTATGACTGAACATTCAATACAATCAAAAGTTCATAATAATAATAACAATAGTTATCATGTTTAAACAATGATTTATTCATGTCATTGAGATGGTATGGAATTCAGCATAAATCAAAAACTTTTGTGATCAAAACAAAACATTGTTGATATATCGTCATGTAACAATTAACTGGGTAACTTTGCTTAATTCATTCAATGTTCAATAATATAGGAATCAGTTTTATGTTTTATTTATTGTTCGTAATATTTCATTTCATTAATTAGGAATAACCTGTAACATGATAATTTTTTCATGTGATACTATTATCAGTATTATTATTATTCGTCCCTTGTTTTTAAGTAGTATGTTAGAATCCATCGGAAAATGTTATTTGTTATCGTACTACTTTTATGTTAAGTCAAATCTCTCTTCCAATAAATCAATCAACTCATTTCTGTAAACACAAAAAATGATAATCATTCCATTGATAGATTGTACCACTAACTTTGAAAACAACACAACAAATCTTTGATCATTAATCAATGGTTTCTATTTTGATTTTGATTTTGCTCATCAATGGATTCACCTTTCCGTTTAGAGTGCTTAACAAACCGTGAAAACATGAATTTTCAAGTTTATGGGAAAAAGATTTCAAAACAGGGCTATACTTTATCTATATGGTTAATTAAGTTTGTGATTGCTCTTTTCTGATTTTTATTTTTCTTACACCTCAATGACTTAGGGAAGATAGTATTGTAGTAAAGCAGAACACAGGTGAAGGCAACCGAATTGTATTTAACGAAAATTACAGAGTTACTCAGTAAAATCGGAAAACCATATCGTAAATCGTTAATTTGCAAAATATCAGTCCATCATATCAAACTGGACTGTTCCTGTTGCAAAACATCAATCCATTGTCACTATTCATGCGTTTCATACAAATTCCATTGTGTTCTATCTCTTCCTTTCTTGATCTTCCCCTATCTTCTGCTGCCAGACATTACGTTTTTACTCGCGTCATATACTACTTATAAGTAGCTCGCACCACAGTATGAGCTAAAGAATTGTGTTCATAAGTGCCCAAACGGGGGACACTGCTCTTGTGTGTGCTTTTTGGATGTCCATTTGTCTTCCGACCAATCTAAACAACATGTGAATTCCCGTATGTAGCAGGGGTGATTGTAAAATTGGCTTTTATGAGAATCCTTGTGTTGCCTAGAATGCAGCGGCGTGCATGTGCAGCAGGCTTGTTGATAAATCAAGAATATATTAAGCTGTATAATCAATCATTCGTTTACTTACTTTGCTTACACCTGTTACCCTCTATGGAGCATAGGCCACCGACCAGTATTTTCCAACCTACTCTGTCCTTGGCCTCCCTTTCTGTCTCTGTCTGTCCCCATTTCTGGGCATAATGTGTCTTTTGGCCTTCCTCTTCTCCTTTGGCTTTGGGAATTCCGAATGGAAGATTGCCTTGTGACGCAGCTGGGTGCTTTCCTGCACGTATATCATGTCCACTTGCAACCCTTCATCCTGATTTCCTCCTCCACTGGAATCTGGTTTGTTCTTTCCCATAATGGATTGTTGCTGATGATGTCTGGTCAATGGATCCGAAGTATTTTGTATAGATAACTATTAGTAAATACTTGAATCTTCTGGATGATAGATTTCGTAGCTCTCCAAGTTTCCACCCTATACAGTAGAACTATCTTGACATTGGTATTGAAAATTCTGACTTTGGCGCTTGTCAACAGTTGTTTTGAGTTCCTTAGTCGATAAACGAGAACAAAACAATGAACCAGCGTCCAGGTAGGCTACTCTGATCTGTTGACACAAATGTACTAACAAGAAGTCTTGAAATAGCGTAGAAAGTGTATTCTACAAACACCCAGCCAGTACACAATGAATCCAAGCACACAAATTGCGTTTATTTATACACCAAAGGGACGTCCTTGGGGAAGTCATAAAATAGCACACTAAAATAATAGTTTCAAAAATGTGCAACTTAACAATCTTCACAACAACCTCGTAATGCAAATTACCTGTGCTCATTAGTGACTAGCTTCGTGAGGAATCTTCTCCGAGTTCTAGTGCGAAGACGTGACCAGTGAACTTCAACCTGTTCGGGTGTAGACAGTAACTACTGAACACTGTGTATGAGGTTGCGCAACTCCGTGAATTTGATCAAGTTAGACATTAACACCGTTAGATACCGGCTCAGTGGTCTGTCGGTTAGGGCGTTCGCTCACAGTACCGAAGGTCCTGGGTTCGAATCGTGCGGTTTGCGGGAGTCGTGGATGCGCACTGCTGAGGAGTCTCATCCACCTTTGACCTACTGTTGATAAAACTTTAGTTATCATATTTTATAATTTTCTTTCTATTATCAGTACGCCTGTATTCCTACTATGCACTTGAACTTTTGCCTATTATTATGTGTAGTGACGTAATCTCTATTTCATTTCATTGTGTGATTATCACTCAAATTGCCTTGATTATCGGTTTAACATTTTTATCTATAAATATTCATGTATATTATTGGAGTAGAAAGCCTGATGATGGATGATCTAATCGAAAACAGTAATATTGTTCGCTTTCGCTTATTATATGTGTTGTTTTAATTTTCACAATGAGAATATTTAAAATTTTATTTTAAATTCAATTAATCATTATTATATTTTCATTGATTGCTTTAATCAGTAAATAAAACAAAGTATAATAACACCACATTAATAAGCGTAAATAACATTTTTTTTTCAAAGAAATTTAAATCAATATATATATATATAAATATATATGTTATATGTTAAATGTTGATACTGTTTTGTCAAGTTATGCATTGACTATTGAACAGATTATGTAATACTGATGTGTCAAGCAAATAATCTTGATATTTCACATTGATCATATGGTTTTCTGAAAATAAATAACATAGAATAGTATGCTTTATAAGATAACAAAACTATTTATAGAAACAATAAAATACTTCATAGAATCCCTAAGTGCTGAAATAGTAGTGTAGTGAAGGAGAACACAGGTGAGGGCAACCGAATTGTATTTAACCAAAAATTACAGAGTTACTCAGTAAAATAGGAAAACCATATCGTAAACGGTTAGTTTGCAAATCTTCAATCGAGTGTCTGACGTTTCACTCACCATTCATGCGTTTCATACAAATTCCATTGTGTTCCCACTCTTCTTCCTTTCTCTTGATCTTCCCCCATCTTCTCCTACCAGACATTACGTTTATATTGGCGTCATATACTACTTATAAGTAGTGCGTACCACAGTAGAGGTAAGCAATATGTACAACACGAGAAGATTGTCTACATCATTTGAGATTCTTATAATTTAATAGATAGACTGAGCTGTAAAATAAAATCGTTCATAGAGGATAGCTCATGAATTTGTTCCAAGCTAAGATCGGTTGCTTATGGATAGGTACCTTATCACTTTCTTCTGATGGTCCTGATGGATTACGAAGACGTCAGTATCTGAGAAGAAGCACAGTATACAGTGGACAGCTGGGATACAGCTGGAAGATCTGGACTTCACAGACTACCCAGCTGTTCTATACCACACTCAACAACAAATGCAAAAGGAGACGGCCAATATAGTAGCAGCCTCAGCGCAGCAGTAGGTCTCAACATACACAAACGAAAAAATCAAGATCCTCTGATACAAAACAAAATATATATTAACTGAATCACAGTTCATGGAGAAGGTTTGGAGAATGTAGTAACCTTAACAGAACTGTGTAGCATCACTGATAAACAAGGTGAATCTGATGCTGATGTAAAGACATGGAAAAGCAAAGCGGAGGCGGCATTTCTACTACTGATGAACATCTGCAGCTAAAATCACCTATCAGTCAACACCGAAATGCGAATTTTCGCAGTACAAAATCTTAAGACAGTTCAACTAACTATATGGAGTGAAAAGTTTATGAACCACAAAAGCCATCATTCACACACTACAGATATTTATTTAACATTTGTCTACGCAAGATACTTCTAAACCATTGGCCAGATACTATTAGCAAAGTTTCGAGTAGATAGCTTGCCAGTCCTCATTGGCATACTGGTCAAGAGCCGACCATAAGACTGATGGATCCAGTTTTAGGATTGAACAAAATTTTTAAAAATTATGATTTAGAATGAGTGATTTTATATTTCGATTGTAAAATCTATGCTGAACACTAAATTACATGAGGAAATTTGATCTATACATACACAATTCCTTCACGCCGCAGGATTCAAACCCAGGACCTTTGGTATTGTAGGCGAACGCCTAGTGGGAAGACGTGACCAGTGAAGTTCAACCTGTTCGGATGTAACTCCGTGAGTTGATCAAGTTAGACATTAACATCGTTAGATACCGGCTCAGTGGTCCAATGGTTAAGCCTGGGTTCGAATCCTGCGGGGTGTAGGAGTCATGGATGCTAACTGCTGAGGAGTCCCAAACCAGGACTTGACGGTCGTCTTTCAGTGCTTCCAGGTTTCAAAAATGTGTAACTTAACAATCTTCACAAACCCGTAATACTAAACATACACAGTTGATAAGGTATCATTATCAAGAATAAAAAAATGATTGTTAAACTGTGAACAGTAAAGTATGAATGAATTCAAATACAAATAAGTAATCAGTCGTGCACTAAATTTAACAAGCCTAGTAAAAATAAAAGACGTCTTCTTCATATAAGATATTTTTAAAATGAATTTTATTCAACAGATAAATGAGTTACCGATTATTTATGGTTTGAATCACGAATCAATCATTGTTAGACTACCATTAGAAACCTGTAAGTATTGAATGATGGCTGTTTTTGGTCATGGTGTGCAAATCATCAGCAGTGCTCATCGACGATTCACGCTACTCGCAAGATTCGAACATAGGATTTGTGGTCTTGCTCGCCAATGCTTAACTTCCAGACCAATGAGTCAGCATCCAACGGTGTGTTAATGTCTAACTTTAATCGATCCTAGTTATTGCACAACCACACACAAATATTGTCTTCGGTAGTTACTACCTACACTCAATAAGGCTTATAGCTCCAATAAGCATTTTCGAAATTTTCTCAAGCTATCAAACTTTGTGCAGACATTTTAAAAATAACAATAATAATCGATTCGTTTATTCCTTAGTATGATGATTGACTTAAGTTAATCTCTTCTCCAAAACAGCATTATAAAATATGCATCTATAGTTGTTCTATAATGTTGTCTGAATTTTATAACTCCATCGATAATATAATACGTAAAAGATGTTTACAATATCTATTTTTGTTGGGGACATTAGATCACCAGAATTCACTAGATAAAGTTTGTAATTTGGGATGCTCAGTTGACCTTGAGATTACATTTCCCACTCGGAAAATCCTTGACTGTTATTGGTTGATGTATTATTTTAGTATGCTATTTTTATGGCTCTCCAAAGGACGTTTCTATCATGTATAAATGAACTCGATTTTTGTGCTTGTCAACCTCCAATTTTCTGGTAGCTTGTAGAATACACTTTCTATGCCATATCAAGACTTCTTCCTCTACATAGTGGTGCCCGACCGAAGCTGCTACCTTGGCGTGGTGGTCGGGCTTGCCTATCGTCATGACCCAAACGAGCTATATTGGATGGAAAATATGTTCCTAAAGGTTCTACCACGCCAGGCAGGTCGATTGGAGAACGATGAGACTAAAAGCAGCTACCCAAGGTCTGAGAGTGAAGCCTTTCTGCTGACTTCAGAGGGATGTGACAGCAGTAAGGTGTTTCCCTCGGATAACCAGCATCTGTGGCGATGCTGCCTTCTCACAATGAAGGAAGGAACGGTTAGAAAAATTCAACCCTAAAACGTCACACCTCACCCTACCTCACGGATTTCCGCCTCCGTCGGTAAGGGTGACAACTAAGGGCTTTTAAGAGTGGAGCTAATATTCAAAAAACCTTCATAAAAAGTTCATGCGTGACCGGCCTCAAGCATTTGTCCCATGGACTCTGCGGTCACGCTCCCAGGTCGTTAAGACCAACGCCAGTCTCATTTCCTTTCCAGGTTCCTCAAGAAACAACCTTCCACGGTGTGGGCAGTCGGGAAGTGACAACTGCCCTCATACACATAACAGCACGAGAGACCGAATAGGTCAAAATCAAATACTTCCTACACCCACACATACCTCTCTTATCTCCACGACTAACACTTCCCACACTCATTTATCACAGTGCACAGCTAATGCAAACGATGCGAGTTCACGAAACGTCATTTCTGGTCTCTTAAAACCCCGTTCTAGAATATATGTTGGAGCTTTTAATCTACGGACATTATGTCAAATAGGGCAACAGGCATCATTAGCTAGGAATTTAGAATCTCGAACTATCGATTTATGCTGCGTCTCGGAAACGCGCACACAGGATCCTAGTAAATTCATTAATCTGATTTCGCATTGTCAAAACAAAGAAGCAACTCGACTTACCCTTCGTGTATCCGGTAGCCCTGATGATGCTTCCAGAGGCCTCGCTGGCGTAGGTGTAGCATTAAATCGTAAGGCAGGACTAGCGCTCCTAGACTGGATCCCAGTAGATAGTCGCTTGTGCACTGTCCAACTAAACGGGACAGTAAGGATTCGGAAAGATAGGGACACCCGTCGTTGCCTCTTCGTCGTATCTGCCTATGCCCCCACTGACTGCAGTTCAGACGATGTGAAAGATGAGTTTTACAGAAAGCTTTCAAACCTACTGCAAAAAGCTAGGCACTCCGATGTAGTAATAATGGCTGGTGACTTCAATGCTCAAGTAGGTAGACTAAGTGAGCAGGAGAGACACCTGGATGGATGTTATAGTGTCGCGGCTCATAGAACAGACAGTTGCGACCGTCTGTTGCAAGTATGCTCAGATATCCCCTATTTCTAGCAAACACTAACTTTAGGCATAAGGAAAAACATCTGTTGACCTGGCGACACCCAAAGTCGTCTCATCAGTGCTGATGGCCTGGTGACTGACGAAATCTCTGCTCCGATGCAGAAGGTTCGGTTGGCCTTTGCCAACCTGCACCACTTATGGCACAGGCGAGATTTCCGCTCGCTAACCAAAGGACGAGTGTACTGTACAGCAGTTCGCTCCCTCCTACTGTATGGATGCGAAACATGGCCGGTAAGAGTAGAAGATATTCGTAAGTTATTGGTATTCGACTGTAGATGTCTTCGGAACATTGGTGGTATATTTGTGGGACGACCGAGTAAGGAATGATATATAGTTATAAATGGAATACTAGATAGGGATGGCAGGTGAATAGATGAAGTATTGTAACTTGATTAGTTGAGGTGGTCGGGACATGTGTTATGTATGGCCAATGGCGGACTGCCTCGTCGTGCTATGTTTTGTGGTGTAGGAGTGGGTTGGAAGAAAGCTAGGGGCGGGCGGCCAAACCGAAACATGTCAGAAATGCATGAAGTGACTGACAAGTGGACTGAGTGATGTTGGTAGACGTAGGCTACCTGGTTGAGGTCGGCGAGACGAAATTAACCGATGGTTAGAGACCTTGAATGACATGGCTCAAAGTCGTTTGCAATCGCACAGGTGAATCCACTCTTTGTGTTCTCTATAAATCTGACCTTCTGAATTCCTCATAATCTCTATCTTTCTCCTTCTAAATTTACCTTACTGATTTATACTCCTCGAATCATATCTTTGCTCCCTAATCTTTTCTATTACTGCTAATACTTCTTCTGTCTCTATCACTCTTGTATTTGAACTGACAGTTGCATCTCTGTGCTGATGTGATATGACAACCTGAGGTGATGTGCTTACGTACGACGTTCTGCGTTGTATCTGTCTGTCTGTCTTAGTGGTGCCTTGAGACGCTCGGATTAGAGTAGCCTATCGTGTCACTGGATCATTTGTCTTCGCTCTCGTTTACCGAGTAAGATGAACTCGTAATAGTTTCAAGCATATAAACTGAGGAGCATAACAATTTTACAAAAAATGATGCTGTTTAACAAGAATATCTCAACTAAACTCAACCGCTTAACATTTATTATCAAGCTATTAACTGTAATCTTTGGCAATTAATAAATTAATACTTAGAGTGATTATTTTGTCAATCGATAAATTCCTCAATTACAACAATAAAAGTAAAAGATAAATCTTACCATTTTCTTACTTCTATTGGTCCATCATAATGAAATTCTTTCACAGGTGACCAACGTTTATTAAGAATGTGAAATCTAAATTGAAAATATGATGCAATAAGTATTCAGTCCATGAAATAACAAGATAATGTTCTTTTTTTGGGGCTCAGTTTTGGAGGTTTGCGTTTTTTACACATTTGAAATGAGTCCCATACCAGAATGAGACGGCCGTCTTTCAGTGCTTCCAGGTTTCTAATGGTGTGGTCTAGTAACAATGATTTATTGATGATTTCGAATGTGTAAAAAAGGATAATGTTCGCCAAAACTTGGTGTAAAGTTTATGAAAGCAACAACTACCGAACTGTCTCATCCTACAGTGAGATTTATCGATATGAACAAAGAAAAAGAATGCCAATTTTTATCGCTCTGTAGAAAAAGTTATTTAGAGCAAAGTATACTTCAGTTATTTTTCATTTTAGAGTTATGGAGGTTGTTGTTCAATACTGAAGTGTAAATCAGCGCTTGTTAGACCACGATTGGAAACCTGAATGCACTGGCTGGCCGTTTATTGCTTGGTATGGGACTGATACCCATCACTCACAGGACTCAAACCCAGTACCTCCGGTCTCGTTCGTTTACCGACGCTTAACCTTTGGGACTACTGAGCTGGCATCCAACGGTGTTAATGTCTAATTTTAGTCAATCTAACGATTTTGCTCAAATTCACTCATTGTCTTCGGTGGGCAGTGACAAGGATTAACTCCATAAGTCACGATTTCTCACTAGAAGTTGTTGAATAAATCTAAATATAATTTCTCCTCTTTACTATAATACATGAACTTAGCATCTAACTATTTTGAAGTTATTTGTTCGAATTCATACATAAGGTTTTTATATGAACATATTGATTTTCTGGGAAGCTTTTCACCCAGTACCACTGACTGTAATCGATAAAGTTGATTTTATGAAAACAGCATAGAACAACATTAGAAACAAGTAGAAGATAATGAGAAGTTCCAGAAAATATCATAAATTCATTTTATCAAACAAATATTATTAGTATTATTATTCTGGTAAAATTTAGGTGGAGGGTCCAATTGTATGAGTAATAAGATAATTCATCAAACATTATATTTTAGATGACGAGAAAAGGGAAGCACATTTTGTGAATACAAAATACACGTTTTTTACATTTCAGTTAATAGTTTTGAAATAAATTCAATGTCATGAATGTGAAGTACTTAGGAAGCATAGAAAATACTTTCTAATCTATCTGTTTTGTATTTTTTTCCAGCTATCGCCATCGGGAAAAACATTAGATCAGAATTTATGGGACTTTTGCGTAACGTGAGCATTCTGACTTCGAATTACTATTTTTGAAACCATGAATCGATCAGTGTTAGAACAACATTAGAAGCCTGGAAGCACTGGACGACCGTCAAGTCCTGGTATGGGACTCGTCAGCAGTGCTCATTCACGACTCCTGCACCCTGCACGATTCGAACCCAGGACCTTCGGTATTTAAGTAAGTAACACTCAGTTGAAAATTCAGAAATGAAACGTTTATTACTTACTAATGAGATAAACATTTTTAGAAGTATAACATCATTAACAGAATATAGCTAAACATGAAATGACAAAACGGATGCGTTGCACAAATAACATTACTTAACAATTCGTACTCATCATCAGCTAGCAATTAGAACTCAACGGAAACTTCGAGAACTACCAAAGCCATCACCCAGAAAATACAAGTGTTTATGAACAATTGTCTACGCAAAATACTTTGGATTCGTTGGCCAGACACCACCAGCAGCAACCTACTGTGAGAGAGAACAAACAAGATTCCAGTGGATGAGGAAATCAGGAAGAAGTGGTGGAAGTGGATAGGACACACACTACGAAATGCACTAAACTGTGTCACGAGACAAGCCCACACATGAAAACCTCAAGGCTAAATGAAAAGTGGAAGGCTAAGGAACACATTACGCTGAGAAATAGAGAAAGATATGAGAGGAATGAACAAACATTGGACAGATGTGGAAAGAGAAGCCGAGGACAGAGTTGGTTGGAGAATGCTGCTGGTGGGCGGCCTATGCTCGTTTGGGGGTAACAGGCGTAAGTAAGTAATCAGAACTCAAGACTCGCTACAATTTTTTTATGAAAGATGCTTTACATTCAAATTGATACTTGAGTTTTACTTTTGTTATTCTTGATAGAATCATTTATTTATTTTTTTTCGAGAATAAAATAATACAGTTTTTTTAAAATAAAAACTACCATATTTCATGCATTTTTTCAAAAAAAAAATTCAGTCACTTAATTTTTTTGCTAGTTTTCCATGTTAACCATAGAAAATTTCTATGCGGAAAAAAATCATGCTTCTTCCAGTAGTTGGCAAGTTTTTCTTGCCAAATGAAAATATTATTGACTCGTTGGAATATAGTAGCTAAATATATCTTACCGTTTTTTCACTTCAAGTGGTTCACCATAGTGAAATTCTTTCACAGGAAACCAACGTTTATAAAATATTTGAGACCTAAATTAAAAAAAAAAGAGGGATATTATGATGTTATGCAAATGATGTTATTCAAATTGATTTGATACACTCATTTTAATGCTAACTAAAGTCGACGTTGTTCCTGTGAACACGGATCAATGGTTCCCATGTAGTGAAGGAGAACACAGGTGGGGCAACCGGATTGTACTTAACGAAAATTACATAGTAAAATCGGAAAACCATATCGTAAATCGTTAATTTGCAAAATATCAGTTCATCATATCGAACTGGACTGTTCCTGTTGCAAACAACATCAATCCATTGTCACTATTCATGCGTTTCATACAAATTCCATTGTGTTCTAACTCTTCCTTTCTTGATGTTCTCCCATCTTCTGCTGCCAGACATTACGTTGACACTCACATCATACAGTACTTTTAAGTAGCTCGCATCACTTCATGATTAATCCTTCAGGGTGAGGTTTTAAAGTCTCGGATTCAATCTCTGCAGGGATCTTAGTGCACACTGCTGGAGATAATTGTATGAGAATGGAACAGCTGTCTACTGCTCCCTAGTTTATTGTACTGTTAAGGATGTTCGATGTACAGAATTCGCTTGATAAATATCTTTATTTTGGATTTATTCATTGGACCGATCAGTTGACCTTGAGATCACATTTTCCATCAGGAAAATCCTTGTCTGTGATTAGTTACTGTGTTATTTGAGTGCGCTATTTTTGTGACTGTCCGAAGGACATTCTCTGATGTATAAATAAACGCAACTTGAGTGCTGTCTGGGTGTTTGTGGAATACGCTTTCTACGCTATATCAACACTTCTGGCTGATTCAGTTTGGTCAAGGGATCAGAGTAGCCTACCTGGACGCTGGTTCATTTTCTTGTTCTCGTTTATCGACTAAGGTGAACCCGTAATAGTTTCAAGCATACCTAGAGACGAGCGTAACAAGTACCTACATAAATCTATGACGATTTCAATCCTTAAATTGAACTAATTTGGTCAGAACCCCTTCAGGTAAACTCCTTTGACTCTATTCACTGGAACAACTGAAACCTAGGAAGTACTAGATTGCTGCTTCGTTCTTATAGGATACTTTTAGACAATTTTATAACCAACTGATATCTTCATGCTGATATATACATTATGTAATTGGAAATAATCGATACGAAATCTTATATCTTTGATTTCTAGCTAGCTGGCATTCTTTAGTATGATTTATTTTGGTAATCTTAAAGCGAAATTGACGCTTCTATGGGTCATGAACTCAGATCACTCAGTTTTATAATTTACGCTCACGTAGAATAAATAATATACTGATTTAAGTGTTTTCTCACGATGCAATAACACCATTTTGGAAAACTAAACGGCTACCTCGCACTATTACTGATACTTATAACAAACAGAAAGTTTCACATTTTTGAAACCATGAATCGATCAATGTTGACCACCATTAGAAACTTGGAAGCACTGGACGGCCGTCAAGTCCTGGTAAGGGAGTGTGTATGAGGTTGCGCAACTCCGTGAATTGGTCAAGTTAGACATTAACACCGTTAGATACCGGCTCAGTGGTCCGATGGTTAGGCGTTCGCGCACAATGCTGAAGGACCTGGTTTCGAACCCTGCGGTGTGCAGGAGTCGTGGATGAGCACTGCTGAGGAGTTCCATAAAAGGACGAAACGGCCATCCAGTGCTTCCAGGTTTCTAATGTTGGTCTAACATTGATCGATTCATGGTTTCAAAAATGTGTAACTTAACAATCTTCACAACCCCGTAATGCAGAAAGTTTGTTATGTAAGAAGGACGTTAGGGTTGAACAACAGCACAAATTTTGTTTAGCTAACCTTTTTTCAATATTTTTGTGTTCAAGTGTACGTATGACACAAAAAAAATAAATGCAAGGAACAGTCACTTACTTCACTAGATATCTTTTACAATACAATATATCGTTTGGTAATGAAATAACAATATGAATCATATATATAAATTACAAAATAAATACTACTGGAAAATAAATTTGAAATCATATATCCTACTCATATATTTTGTTTTCATATAACTTATTAAAAATTAATTTTTCTCTCAAAATTCATTATCATACAAGATGGTAACGCATTCATATTGCTGTGCTCGAAAACTCAGGTGAGGATATCAACATCTATATACATTTAAGCGAATATTACAGAGTTGTTAAGCATATGTACAAAACCTTCCCGTGAAACCTTCATCATTTGCAAACTAATCCTTATTTGTTTCAGATTTCAGTGTTCTTTCATTTAGACTGTTCAGACTTCAGTTCACTTTACGTTATCTACAAATCGCCTTCTGTTCTCATTCTTTCCTTCTCGATCTTTTGCTGTCAGACGTTTGATTTCCATTTGATATCATATACTACTTATGTGAACATAAGTAGCGTACACCACAATATTAGTGGTTCAGTTAACTTATCGGTTAACATAATCAGTAAGTTTCTCGACTGATAATTGTTAGTAAGGAGTTTCTGTAAACTAGGAAAAGAAAACTATGCCTTTTCTGGAAATAAAACTATTTTTCTGGATCTCACTGCCAGTGATGTCATCACTAAAGTTATTCTGGCTATAATTTCTACCAATGGGACTGAAACATTCTCAGTAATTCATAATGTATTAACAGTCAATAGAATATCTAGTAATCAATATAGATTTGAATCTATCAATCACGTTTTAATGTGTTTGTTAGTTTAATTACTACAGCTCAGCATGTTTAGTGTTGGATAGCTCAAAGCCAGTTGGTTAGAATCAGTGTATTGTGGTTGGTGATGAAACAAATTTTGTAATTAATTTAAATTCGTCCGCTCCAAACGCATGGATCAATGACATAAACAGTTGAAATATGGTCACAAGTTTAATAATCATCAAGATTGGATGATGAATATTGTAGCGAACGAGAATACAGGTGGGGCAACCGGATTGTATGAAACGAAAATTACAGAGTTAATCAGTAAAATCGGAAAACCATATCGTAAATCGTTCATTTGCAAAATATCGGTCCATCATATTGAACTGGATTGTTCCTGTTGTCAAACATCAATCGATTGTCACTATTCATGCGTTTCATACAAATTCCATTGTGTTCCAACTCTTCCTTTCTTGATCTTCCCCCATCTTCTGCTCCCAGACATTAGGTTGACACTCACGTTCTATACTACTTATAAGTAGCTCACACCACAATATAATTATCAAAATATGGAATCTATTTCAGTCAGTAATTAGTCAATTGTTTGGAAGATCCAGTACAAAAGTAGATGAATACAATGAAATTTAGAAACTTTAGCAATTGTCAGTATTTTTTCAAGTGTTTTCTATCAAACAAAACATTTATATCATGACTAAATAATGACAGAGTTGACTTATGATAGAATATTTTAAAACAAACTATGTAAACATTTTTCGAAACCATGAATCGATCAATGTTAGACATACACCATTAGAAACCTAGAAGCACTGGACGGCCGTTTCGTCTTGGTATGGGACTCCTCATGGTTTCAAATAACGTGTAACTTAACAGTCTTCACAACCCCGTAATGCAAACTATGTAAAAGTAATAATTTTTTTATAGACAAACACAGAAGTGAAATTACTCTAAAGTAAATTGACAATCATCAATCTTTGATGCAATAAAATCATGTGCTATTCATTTCAAATGTAACATTTAAATTTTACGTGAATTTCATGAAAACAACATTGAAATGAACGTTACACTAACAATATTGTACAATGTAGACTGCATGAATTACCAAAGTGCTTATTTAGACAAAGAATGGAAATACAATTTTTCATGTTTCGGTTACTGGTCATACTTGTTTGTATACTACAGTATAGGTGTGGTGCGCGCTACTTATAAGTAATATATGACGCCAGTGTAAACGTAATGTCTGGCAGCAGAAGATGGGGGAAGATCAAGCGAAAGGAAGAAGAGTGGGAACACAATGGAATTTGTATGAAACGCATGAACAACAATGAAATGTCAGACAATGGATTGATGATGGATGGATTGAAGATTTACGATATGGTTTTCCTATTTTACTGATTGACTCTGTAATTTTCGTTAAATACAATTCGGTTGCCCTCACCTGTGTTCTCCTTCACTACATAGGTCCCGACGGAATTTTCATACTTACGTCATAATATTATTAAAAGTTACAAGTCACAACTTTAAACGTAACACTGTTTATCTGTAAACGATAAACTTAAAGAGATGAGAATATAAATCATTTATTTTAATATGATGTTTATAATAACAAGTTGAAAACTCCTCCTAGAGCATTTTTGGAGCTACTGCCGGTCCCATACTCAAATAAAGCGGGAGGTTTAGGCATGCTATGGGGTTAGCGACTCCATGACAGGTTAAAATATGAAATATATATGTATTAGAAGAAGGAAGTTATGCGTTTCGTGACTTCTTTACAAGCATTTTCGTGACCATATTTTCTATGATTAAAATGTTTAACCTCTTATCTTTTTTCAGGTTAAAAAATTATTCGAAAATATAGCGCAACAAATAAGAAAAATCATTTTTCCTACCTTTTGTCATGATAGATAAAAAGGTTATTATTTATACTTTTCAAATGAACCACTCACTATTTAATAACTTCAAAATCAGGCTAAAATGAGCAATTACATTCATTCTTAATTATATATCAAAGTTAGATATAAATAAGAGCTTGTTGAAAATGGTAGATATTAGTTTTATATTATAGAATTATGGAGACTGTTGTTTCTTATTGAACCGATCATTGTTAGACCATTGTTCGAAACCTGAGAGTACTGAATCAGAGTGAGAGACATCACCGTTGAATATCAACCCAATGATTCAAAGGTTAGGAGTTCGTGCGAAAGACCGAAGGTCCTGGGTACGATTACCACGAGAAAAGATCGTGGATGTGTACTTCTGGTGAGTCCTATTGTAGTGAAGGAGAAGACAGATGAGGGCAGCCGAATTGTATTTTACGAAAATTACAGAGTTACTCAGTAAAATAGGAAAACCATATCGTAAATCGTTAATTTGCAAATCTTCAATCCATCATCAATCCATTGTCTGACATTTCACTATTCATGTTGTTTCATACAAATTCCATTGTGTTCACACTCTTCCTTTCTTGATCTTACCTCATCTTCTGCTGCCAGACATTACGTTTACACTCGCGTCATATACTACTTATAAGTAGCGCTCACCACACTATACCAGGATGAAACAGCCGCCCTATGTTTTCATGTTTCAAATGGTAGTTGAACAATGATTCATTCAAGATTTCAATAACATATTTTAGTATGTTTGTTAATCTCTTTACTTCTTCCCTAAATTTGGAGTCCATTTTCATGTGCGAAAATCTCAATGACAAAGTTCTTTTCGCAAGTTATCTAATCATGATAAAACCAAGTTTATACTAGTTATGAAACTTGACAATGTAACTTAACACTGTTATTAATTTCTAACTTCAATGTATATTTGAATCCCCCACTTTTGTGTTGGGGATGTTAGATCCCCAAAACTCGCTTGATAAATGCCTTATTTTGGATTTCACGTTTGACAGCATGGGCTGATCAGTTCACCTTAAGATTTAACTTCCTACCAGGAAAATCCTTGGCTGTGATTGGCTGCTATGTATTTTAGTGTGCTATTTTCGTAACTGTCCTAAGGACGTTTCTTTGATGTATAAATAAACGAGATTTGTGTGTGCTTGATTGTATTGTGATTGCTGGGTGTTTGTAGAATATACTTTCTACGCTATATCATGACTTCTGTTTTGTCGTTTTCAGATCAGAGTAGCCTACCTGGACGCTGGTTTATTGTCTCGTTCACGTTTATCAACTAAGGTGAACCCGTAATAGTTTCTAGCGTACCTAGTGGCGAATCAAACATTTTGTTAAACTAAGGGATTTTCACATAAAACCAAGTTTATATTAGTTACGAAACTTGACAAGTCTACTTAACACTGTTATCGATTTCTAACTTCAATGTAAATTTGAACCCCCCCCCCCCATTTTTGTTAAACTAAAGAATTTTCATATAAAAGGATAAAACAGTCTTCAATAAGGATTACTGTAACCTCCATCAGAATAAAATTCTAAAGTGTAGTTGATACTACATTGTCTTAAATAAATTGTACAAGATATTTGAACTGAAATATAACAACTAGAAATAATCAATAATGTTTAATACAGAGTGTGATTGGTTATCTTGTGGTGGCCAATTTCTACATGTTATTAGTCTTCGTAATTAGCTCGTTCAGACAATCGTCGTTACTAAATAGCGTCTGACGGTTTATAAATCAGAAGGTAAACTCGAAATGTTGAATACGTTTATTTTGGCACACCACAAATAGGATATAGCAGACCACAAGTAGACCGGGTAGGCACACTAGCGAGTGAATTAATAAGATTAAAATGTTCGTGTATATAAATCGGGAGATATTTGAGTCATCGCGGTATTCAAGAGATTAACATTAAAGCAATTAGGATGAATATGCGCGTAGGCGTTAAGCAATGCTCAGTCATACCAGCTCATACGAACCACACAATAATAAAAGCCAATGGTACATATAAGATACTGTTATACAAATGGCTTGGTTGAATAAATTAATCGAAACGGCTTAACCAAATTTAACACCTTTACATATCTTGGCAGCATCATCGACGAGAAAGGTGGATCGGATGCAGATGTGAGGGCGCGGATTGGCAAAGCAAGGGCTGCATTTCTACAGTTGAAAAATATCTGGAACTCCAAACAACTTTCAACCAAAACCAAAATCAGCATTTTCAATACAAATGTCAAGACAGTTCTACTGTAAGGAGCAGAAACATGGAGAACTACCAAAGCCATCATCTAGAAGATACAAGTATTCCTTAACACTTGTCCACGCAAAATACTTCAGATTCGTTGGCCAGACATGATCAGCAACAACGAACTGTGGTAGAAAACAAACCAGATTCCAGTGGAGGAGGAAATCAGGAAGAATTGGTGGAAATGGATAGGACACACACTACGAAAAGCACCTAACTGCGTCTCAAGACAAGCCGTCACATGGAACCCTCAAGGCAAAAGGAAAAGAGGAAGGTCAATGAACTCACTAAGCTGATAAATAGAGAAAGACATGTGAGAAGAATGAACAAAAACTGGACTGAACTGGAAAGGGAAGCCCAATAGAGAGTTGGTTGGAGAATGCTGCTGGTGCGCGGCCTATGCTCGAATGGGGGTAACAGGCGTAAGTAAGTAAGTAAGTAAGTAAGTAAATAAGCTTAACCGAATCAAATCTAAACGAACTCAAATATACATGGAGGCACTACAATCTTACCGTTTTTTAATTTCTAATGGTTCATCGTAGTGAAATTCTTTCACAGGAAACCAACGTTTATTATTTGTTAATACATTGAATCTAAAAATTATACAAAAACCAAAAACAATTTGTTAGTCAAGTTAATTTTTTTAAAGTATTATGGTATGGAGCAGAATAAAAAAAAAACAATGTTGAAGTATTCAAGATTCAATTGTTGTTCATTAGTTGAATTGTTTTTGTTTTATTTTTTTCTGTTTTACGAAAAGTTTTTTGTTAGCTAATCATCATTCAACTTCTTCCACTTTAGTAATTTAGTAAAACAAAATAAAAATCTTTATAAGTAGAAAAATTTAAATTTTGTGGCTTTATTTATAAGCTGCTGTTTGTTCAATGGATAGATATAAACAACTCAACTGAACACAAGTTTAAAGAGTATAAGGAAACTAAACGAGAATATTCAGCATTAATCAATTGAAAATCAGATTTGATCAAGTCGATGTTCATCTCATTGTAGTTAAAATGATTTATGATTAAGAAATGCTGATTTAGGTGTAGTTCTATATATGAATGGTAATGGGTGAACAAATCAATGGTAGGCTATAATGTTGTATTGTATCCTTTTATACACTAGTCATCTTAATGGTGAGATGCGTAAACTTTTCTAGTGGTTTACTAAAAGAAGATCATACTTTGTCACGCAGATATTCTTTCAGCATCAGTTTTTAATCAACGAGACATAATGCAAACAAACGAATGGAGAAGCAACAGAATCCCTATTTGCATTACGGAGTTGTGAAGATTGTCAAGTTACACATTTTTGAAACCGTGAATCGATCAATGTTAGACCAACATTAGAAACCTGGAGGCACTGGATGGCCGTTTGGTTCTGGTATGGGACTCCTCAACAGTGCGCATACACGACTCCTGCACACCGCAAGATTCCAACACATGACCTTCGGTATTGTAGGCGAACGCCCTAACCGTTAGACCACTGAGCCGGTATCTGATGGTCTTAATGTCTAACTTGATCAATTCACGGAGTTGCTCAACCTCATACACAGTGTTCGGTAGTTACTGTCTACACCCGAACAGGTTGAAGTTCACTGATCACGTCTTCCCACTAGAACTCGGAGAAGATTTCTCACGAAGCTAGTTACTAATGAGCACAGGTAACTTGCATTACGGGATTGTGAAGATCGTTGAGTTACACACTTTTGAAACCATGAATCGATCAATGTTAGACCACCATTAGAAACCATATTGACACCGATTGTAATCAAACTGTTTATGTCACATATTTTAGAATCGAATGTATTCTTTGTCAATGACACTAAATACCGAATTCGATTCAGATGTATGTGAACAATACCGAATATGCTGAATTCAAATTCTTACGAGGTGAAGGAGTCATGGATGCACACTGCTGATGAGTCCCACTCTTCGATTAAACAGTCGTCTTTCAGTGCTTCTTCCAGGTTTCTAATGGTGGTTTAACAATGATTGATTGATGACTTCACCATCTAAAAAACACGAATCTCCATAACTTTAATTGAAAAAATAATACCTTCAGTGTCATGAAAAAGACTTTCAAATGAGATTTTTTTCTGAAATGATCAATACTCTTTCATTCAACATTAAATTCACTTACAAGAATGAAAACAAATAAGGTAAGCTATCACTTTTAGATATTTTAGTTAAATGAAATCTAATTGGAGCTGTAAATCTGTCTACCTGAAGGCAACACATTTTAATCATTATATTGACTTAAACTCAACACATCTACTTAGTGCAAAAGTTTATTTGACGTTAGTATCGTTTTGAAAATCAAACAAGCTTATAACATCTGAAGAGGATAAACATGCATATTCTTATCATTTTACAATCCAAAAATTGTTATTAAAAACGAGATGCTTTACTATTCAATAATAGTTTGAATGAAATACCGTAGTTTGGTACTACGGTTTTACCATACTGTAGTGAAGGAGAACACAGGTGAGGGCAACCGAATAGTATTTAACGAAAATTACAGAATTACTCAGTAAAATAGGAAAACCATATCGTAAATCGTTAATTTGCAAAATATCGGTCCATCCTATCGAACTGGACTGTTCCTGTTGCAAAACATCAATCCGTTGTCACTATTCATGCGTTTCACACAAATTCCATTGTGTTCTAACTCTTCCTTTCTTGATCTTCCCCTATCTTCTGCTGCCAGACATTACGCTGACACTCACGTCATATACTACTTATAAGTAGCTCGCACCGCAATACCACCATGACACAACAACGATTCCAAAGAGTCTTAACGTAACACAGAACCAAAAGCTTACTTCAAAACAACTAACATCCTGCGAAATGCTTCAGTTCGTATTAAGGATAAGATCCCTTTTATGTTAACACTAATTTTTTTTCTATTTTCTACAAATAGATTGTCATGCCTTCTCTATTAGTGAATAAGCTCATAAAATGTTGAGCTGAGCTAGAGAATATCTAAGGTACGCAAAAAGCTATCTAACAATCCTGTCGAACTTGAAAGACTCAAACTTAGATTGGCAATAGCAGTGTATGTCATCTTCAATAATCATGATGTTGACATCGAAAAGTATCAAAATAATTCAACCAGGGTCTTTCAACTACAAAGAAAGGTGAGTGCATGAAGCTTTCCCTATAATACTAATGTCTACTGTCCTTAATGGAAAAGAAAGCTTTACTATACATCCGACTTGGACCATCTACCGAAGCTACTATATATGATTCTATTCACATCTCACACCATCGTCACACATAAAAATCCAACTGTCTCCTTTCTTATTACACAAACGTCACATTTTTAACACCGATCAATACACAAACACACTCAACTAGACCAGTATTTCTGAATAAGCCATTTTGAGTGAAGTGACATGATTCTGACTTGGTTAGACCTGATTATCAATGGATTGTGCTAAATATTCTCATTAAGGTCCCCTGAACTATTTATACTTTCTGATAATTTAATTTTTCAATTCGATATATGGAAAATATTGTTTTTACACATTTGAAATCATCGATCAGTCATTGTTAGGCAATCATTAGGAACTACTGAAACACGACCGTTTCGTCCTGGTATGGGACTACTCATCAGCAGTGCGCATCCACGACTCCTGCACCTCGCAGGATTCGAATCCGAGAGCTTCGTTATTGTGCGCGAACACCCAGCTTTTGGTATAGAATAGCTTTGCCATTCATGTCTGAAACGTTTCATCAGTGCACATTTATTATCCAATACCATAAGTCGTCGAGGCAACATCTTAACCTCAAGATTACTTAAGGGGACATCCATCGGTCTTTATTGTGAACTCTAATTAATTAGCAATATTGGGATTAATCCAAATGTGTACATCAAATAAATCGTTTAATATGTGATTTGCGTAAGGTCATTTATTATCTAGTTGATAAAAATCCTTAATTTAATAAATTTGCAAACCTGATTGCGTTTAGCAACACCTAGTTGGTTGTTTTAAAATAAGTGCTTTTTTCATCTCCAGGCATAGATGTGTGAAAACTATGTTTTGTAGGAAATGATTGATGATTGGTTATTTTGCATTACGGGGTTGTGAAGATTGTTAAGTTACACATTTTTGAAACCATGAATCGATCAATGTTATTAGACCACCATTATAGAAACCTGGAAGCACTGAACTACGGTTTCGTCCTGGTATGCGACTCCTCAGCAGTGCGCGTACACGACTCCTGCACCACGCAGGATTGGAACCCAGGATCTTCGGTATTGTGCGTGAAAGCCTAACCATCGGACCACTGAGTCGGTATCTAACGATGTTAATGCCTAACTTGATCAATTCACGGGGTTGCGCAACCTCATACACAGTCTTCGGTAGACACTGTCTACACCCGAACAGGTTGAAGTTCACTGGTCACGTCTTCCCACTAGAACTCAGAGAAGATTGCTCACGAAGCTAGTCACTAGTGAGTACAGGTAATTTGAATTACGGTGTTGTGAAGATTGTTGAGTTACACATTTTTGAAATCATGAATCGATCAATATTAGACCACGACTAGAAACCTGGAAGCACTGGACAGCCGTTTCGTCCTGGTATGTGAATCCTCAGCTGAGGAGCTGAGCATGAGCTGAGCTGATCCATGGTTTCAAAAAAGATTGGTTATTTGACCATTTCTGATCGCTGACAGCCTTGACACAGGTTATTCCAGGTACAAATACACATCAGTTACATAGCTTAAAATGAAAATAAATGATTCTTAATTTCACTAGATTATATAATGTCATGTATAGAAAAATACACGTGAGTGAGTACACATTACACGTTACATAATTTTTATGTTTCATTCAACAGATAATGATAAAAATTAACAATCTATCTTTACCTGGGGTTATATAATAATCCTTCATTGTATTCTGCACTAATATTTGTTAGAAATATTACAAAGCCAATAGCTGAAAAGTAATAATAAACGAAATTAGTTTTTTTTTTAAAAGTTGTTCGTGAAATCAATTGAAATACTGATTTAAAAATGTTTGAAATTTTCAAACAAAAATTCGTGTTTGCGGTAAAGGCTATCACATACTGTTTAAATAATGAACTGTGACTTATGTCCAAGATTTGGAACCTGAGAGGTGCAGGAGTCATGGATGCACACTGCTGATATGTCTCATACCAGTGTAGTGAAGGAGAACACAGGTGAGGGAAACCCAATTGTATTTAACCAAAAATTACAGAGTTAATCAGTAAAATAGGAAAACCATATCGTAAATCGTTAATTTGCAAATCTTCAATCCATCATCAATCCATTGTCTGACATTTCACTTATTCATGCGTTTCATACAAATTCCATTGTGTTCCCACTCTTCTTCCTTTCTTGATCTTCGCTATTAACGATATAGCTACCCGTGTATCGATCAAACACACTAATTAAAGTTCATTTATGTACTCTCTGGCATAAATTGCCCTTCTATTTACTAGTGCAAGAACCTCCAGATTCCTAGGGCGGAAAGAACACACGTTATGTTTAAAATATCATCGTCGTCGTCTTGTTGGACAGTTTATCTTCCAATTTCCTGCCCCTCCACAAGCATAACATTTATCGTTCCTTTCATGATCCACTCGTAATGCTGCTATCTCACGCTCTAACTCCACAATCTTCTTCTCGAAAGTATTTATCTCCTGCTTTTCGCACCCGACCGGAGCTACTGTTCGTGTCATCAGCTGACGAGTCACCTTCGCCAGTTCACCGATATCCATAGGTCGCCCTGCGTTTACTAGTCTCAGCTGCTGGGACAAGGCGGCAGGCACACTCGCAATAAACTGCGACGTCAACATCTGTGCCTCCGACTCCTCATCGATGTTCGGCAGCGCACGGCGCAACAATCTGGTGAGCTCCACAGCAAGCACCAGCGGGTCACCATCAGCCGACAGCCTCGCCAACCGGAACTCCTGAAGCGCCTTCTCCCTGTCCACTGGGCTGTCGAACTCCGTCATCAGCCGCCCGGTGACCGTCTCCCACGTCGTCTCCACGCCAGCACCGTCCAAGCAGTCATATACGGCTTTTGCCATACCTCTCAGCAGCGTCCCCAGCACCACCAGCTTTGCCTTCGGCTCCTTCACACCCACCAGCTCCGCCACTGCCTCAAACTCCTTCAGGAAGCTCCGCACATCTCCGTCCTCAAACTCCTTCGGCCATGGAATCTTAATCCTTTGCGTAGGCAGCGACACCAAATGTAGTGAAGGAGAACACAGGTGAGGGCAACCGAATCGCATTTAACGAAAATTACAGAGTTACTCAGTAAAATAAGAAAACCATTTCGTAACCGTTAATTTGCAAATCTTCAATCCATCATCAATCCATTGTCTGACATTTCACTCACTATTCATGCGTTTCATAAAAATTCCATTGTGTTCCCACTCTTCTTACTTTTTTGATCTTCCCCCATCTTCTGCTGCCAGACATTACGTTTTCACTCGCGTCATATACTACTTATAAGTAGCGCGCACCACACCAGGACGAAATAACCGTCCTCCAGTGTTTCCAGATTTCTAATGGCGGTCTACCAATCACTGATTGAATGATTTCCAACGTGTGAAAAAACACTAAACTCCATAATGCTAAACGGAATTTCTTTTAACAAACCAACAAAAAAACCAATACTCGTTCATTAGATTACCGTTAAAACATAACTCAATATTTTAAAGATCAATCAGTCTCCGAAAAATGTAGACAACTAGAGAGCTGTTTCATTTTACATTCAAACTTTTAAGTAGTACAAAACGAAGAACATACATTAGATTGAACTCGTTGACTTCATTTCTCACAGTAAACACTAGTTTTTTCTATAATATTCAGTGATTATGTAATAATGCTCAGACAGTTGGAAAAATAATATGATAACCTTAATTTTTATAATCAAGATAATTGAAAGAGGTAGATAGTGACTAACAGAGGAATCCACCTCTGCTAATAATGATTCTTACCCAAAAAAGCGTTATTAACGCGATCTGCATAAAGGTGTACATATGCCAAAGAGTTTGGTCATTTGCAATCCCCAACATCAACAGGCAGATTCAAATAACCAATACAAACGAACAAGACGAGTTATATGCAGTGTGGACCAGTATTCTAGGGTTCAATGAGTTAAGAGTGCTTCATCAGTATTTACTGCTGAGGAGATGAATAGGTAATCGATTGTATTCAGTGATGACGACTTAATTGAGATCAAACCCTTTACGAATAGTCTCTATAAAGACACTTTATCTTAAGACACCCTTTGATTGACTTTCTTGACATTGAATTGATGAGCTCCTTATAGAAAAGTGTTACAACTTTGAATAATACCGCTACAAGATAATATGGCGTACTATACGACTTGACTATGATTTTCACTTAAATGTAGACTTGGGAAACAGACTAGATAAAACAGATAAGTGAAAAGCCTATGAAACGCATAATTAATTGATTAACCCAGTATTATAACAAAACCTGTTGCATTATTTGAGGCAACCTACACAGAATGCACATATATCAAACTAAGACTGATTAGAATTTGGTCAAGATTATCTACTATAGGATGATTCAAATTCTTTTTTAATTATAACTTAAAAATGATATACATTACGTAACTAAATGACTATCTGTAGCGTTTGTCCCTAGGTACGCTTGAAGCTATTACGAGTTCATTAGCGACCAGATAGGCTACCTTGAATCCCAAGCTGAAGATAAAAGACTTTATAAGCGTAGAAAGTATATTCTACAAACACCCAGCAATCACAGTACAATCAAGCATACAACTCTCGTTTATTTATACATCATAGAAACGTCATTGGTACAGTTACGAAAACAGCACACTAAAATACACAGCAGCCAATCACAGCCATGGATTTTGCTGGTGGGAATTGAAACCTCAAGGTCAACTGATCAACCCATGCTGGCAAACGTGATATCCAAAATAAGGCATTTATCAAGCGAGTTTTAGGGATCTAACATCCCCAACACTATCGGAACTCAGTAGCTCAGCGGATAATGCAGTAAGTGTTTGTAACGAGTTGAGCTTCACTGGTCACATGTTCCCATTAGGCGTTCGCCTACAATACCAAAGGTCGTACCTGACTATCGATACTAGCGGAATCATATTTTAAAACTCAATCTAATTACTAAGTACACTGACATATATATCAGACATAAATCCTGAAAATTGATGCTTTAATTTTATTGCGCTGAGCTGAAATAAACCCTATATACTTCAAAAGAGGTTTGAAGCCTTAATTTATTGTGAGTCAAAATTCGAAATCAGAAAAAAATACAAACAACTAAACTTTTATCATGATCAATGTTCAATTGTTAAATTTTTAATTTTAAAATGATCCTGTCTTCAAAATGATATATTGTTTATATATATATATATATATATATATATATATATATATATATATATATAAATATATATATATATATATATATATATATATATATATATATATGATGATCATTCATGCAGGTTGACACTACAACAAAGAATCTGATCCTCGAAAATTTCTGTTACAAAGTAAAAACAAGTGAAATCCGATTGATTGCCTATTCAATGTTCAACTATTAAAATTCATTGATCAAAGTAAATTCCGAAGCCGAATTCTAAAATGCCTACTGTGTAAAAAGAAGACCTTACTAAACAAAGAAGATATAGGGATAGATTTTATTCATCACTATATTTGTTTTCTTCTCTTGTCGAAAAATGAATATTTCTTAGTCGTATTCATGGCGGGTCGAAACAAAGGGTAGGCCGAATAGCTAGCTGTTTTATCTTACTGAATAACTTGTCATTAGTGAACACCTGAAAAAAAGGTATCTGGAATTCAATCCTTTTCACATTCACATCTCACAACTGATTCTTAATCATTAAAACTACAATGTTGGTGTTGTGGATGTTTAAAGCTGAGTAGAAGTATAAATAAAACTGATTTTCAATGTTGAATTACAAACTAAAATCAATCTTCATAAAAACTCCTTTCAATATCAAGTTCGAAAATTTTTCCAAAAACTCGTAGGCTCGAATTTGCATAAAAATGGAATTGTCATCAAAACTTATCAATAAATATTTTCCGGCAGAGTTTTGGAGGTTTTGTGTTTTTACACATATGAAATCATCAAATCAATCAATCAATCATTGTTAGACCACCATTAGAAAACTGGAAGCACTGGATGGCCGTCTCGTCCTGGTATGGGACTTATCAGAGTTAGACATTAACACCGTTGGATGTCGGCCCAGTGGTCCGATGGTTAGGTGTTCGCGCACAATGCCGAAGGTCCTGGGTTAGAATCCTGCGAGGTACAGGAGTCGTGGATGCGCACTGCCTCTGATGAGTCCCATGCCATGACGAAACGGCCATCCAGTGCTTCTAGGTTTCTAATGGCGGTCTAACAATGATTGATTGATGTTTTTAAAACAATAAATATGTCTGAATATGACAAAAACTTTTAAGATTCAATAAAATAATTAGTGAAAACTAAACATTACTTTTTCAATCATAGTTTACTACTGTTTTAGCGATATAAAATTCATCGAATTAAACACAGAAAGAACAGTTACACTGCAAATAAGATATCTTTATGTAAAGAAAGCCCTTCATCAAATCAAAACTTTTTAAAACCATGAATCAATCAATTTTAGACCATCATTAGAAACCTGGAAGCACTGGATGGCCCTCAAATCCTGATATGAGACTTATCAGCAGTGAGTATCCAGGATTCGAACTCAGGACCTTCGATCTTGTGCGCGAAAGCCTAACACTATGGACCACTGAGCCGGTATCTAACGATGTTAATGTCTAACATGATCATATCATGGACGAAATGGACGTCCAGTGCTTTCAGATTTCCAATACTGGTCTAACATTGATCGATTCATGGTTTCAAAAACGTGTAACTTAACAATCTTCACAACCCCGT